TGGTCCGCGGGGTGAGGGACCCCGGGACGCCGCACGGGCGCTGTGGGCTGCGCCAGACTCTATGCCCGTGACAATTACAATGCATTTGATTAATTAATTCAGATCATTATTTCATGAACTATTTATTCAATTGTAATGTTCTAATCGGCCTATGTATACATTGAGACATTGAGTGTACCAAATAATCCTCCGCCAAAACTACTCCTCAGTAACCAAAAATCTCCCACTTTACTTTTTCGCACGTAACAAAAAAATCTTTTCATTATATTCTCATTTTTGAAAATAATGCACTATTATAACTTTTTTTTTGAATTTATCGTACATTCCATCACCTTATTTCATTGTCTTCTCATCATATCATTTACTACGTATAATTCATATTCTTTTTTCACTATTCTTAATCTACCTAATTTTGAAATGAGAAAATTTTTAATTTAGAGAGGGGTATATAATTACTTCATACGGGAAGTACATTCTAGTAATATGATGGATAGTGTACCCGGGGGGTAGCTTATCCGAGGGTTTATTGCGGGAATAATCTAGAGAGAAGTCAGAGCAAAATAAGTAGGAGAGAGAGGCGATTATATTATGAACTCGAGACGTTCTGGTCCTTTACAATGAGGAAAGGGGCTACTGTTTATAGTAGCAATAAATGTGATGAGGGGACACGTGTCGATAATCTAAACGGCCGAGGGGTCACATCAATCGGGTGGCACTGGCATTCGCATGTGCACCGTATTGAATGCGGTGGGTGGATGTGACGTCGCATTAAATGCGGTGGTTGCTTGTCTCCAAAGGGAATCTTCGATGATTGATTTGTTGGCCGAAGGCTCTGTGTAGCCGAAGGCTACCCTCATGGCCGAAGGCTATCTCCATGGCCGAAGGCTATCTCCATACCCGAAGGCTACCCTCATGGCCGAAGGCTATCTTAATGGCCGAAGGCTACCCTTATGGCCGAAGGCTACCCTCGTGGCCGAAGGCTATCTCCATAGCCGAAGGCTACCCTCATGGCCGAAGGCTATCTTCATGGCCGAAGGCTACCCTTATGGCCGAAGGCTACCCTTATGGACGAAGGGTACCCTCATGGCCGAAGGCTATGTTCATGGCCGAAGGCTATCTTCATGCCGAAGGCTATCTCCATGGCCGAAGGGTCCTGATTTCTGCCGTTTTCTCGCCGTAACTTTGTATGCTCAAATCCGGTTGTCATGTGAGGTTTGGAGCCCTCGAACAAGGAGGCCGAAGGCACCCATGTGTGCACCGTGGGTTTCTTTATGCCTGGGCCGCTGTGTTCGGGCCTTGTGTGCTCATTGGACTCATTGGGCCTGTGTATGAGAAGTAGGAGTCTGTGGGCCGGGGGTCCCTGGGCCATATACTCCATCATAATACATGTTAGGAAATGATTTATGTAGGACGAGAATCTCGCCAAAATGTTACTGTACAATAATAATGTTTTTGTTTTATTCGCTTTAGGGCTAATATGCTCATGATCGTTGTGGTTGCCGTTAGTGGAGATGATTCGATTATCAAAGGATTCAAAACCTTCTACATGTTCGATAATTAAAAATGTATGGCATTAGCAACGTTGGAGACAATATAATAATGCTCCAACTCTCCAAGCATTTGTTAAATTGTCCCTTGAGTATTTCGACACATAATAAGGGTGTTTGAATGTGATTCTTAAAAATGTTTCTGCTCTCTGAAGAAATAGAAGCAGAAGTTGGGGTGTTTGAGTGAAAGTGTAGAAATGATTTTGATATTCTAATTTACTCCTAGAATCAGTTTTTTTATTTAGAAGGTGGGAAAGATCAAATTTCGAAAACTGATTCTGATTCTCATTTTGCTTTAAAAAGAAGCAGAAGCAGAATCAATTCCAAACGCCCCTTAAATCCCTCTGTCCTATGTAATATCCCTACCTAAATTGAATTTCCCTAACTATCTACTTTCTCACATTATCCCATTTCTTATATCATTTCATTCTTAAATTTTTTGTAAGCTCATCAGATCATATTCTTTCTTACTCTTTTGGGGTTGAAGGAGGTGTTTGGATCTGATTCTCAAAACTGATTCTGGTCCTTCAGGGAGCAGAAGCAGAAGCTGGAGTGTTTGGGTGAAATTCCAGAAACACTTCTAATGCTCTAATTTACTCTCAGAATCAGTTTTTTTAGAAGTTTATAGGTACCAGCTTCTGAAAACAGAATCTGATTCTGCTTCTGCTCTAAAAAAAAAGCAGAGACAGAATCACTTTCAAAGACCCCCAAGTTTCCCAAGTTTTAAAACAATCACACATACTTTATCGTTTGTTATCTTAAAACCTCTAGACGTATAAGCATCTTACATTATGTGACGGATGCAATTTATTTCAGTGTGGTATGTTTTTTTTAAATTGTGGTATGTTCATTAAATGTCTAATGTGCGTATTAGGATTAATTAAATCTAACATGATTTGATCTAGTTTTTTTTTATATACGAGTATGGTTTAGCCTAATCCATTTCAATTTTGCCTGGTCATATATAGGACTCAAATGATTCTAATTAAAATTATACCCCCTTCGTTCTTTAAAACATAGTCAAGTTTGACTAACACAAGGATTAATAAAATAAAAATTGCGTGGTTTAGGTTTGTGTAGATGAGAGAGGATTAACTAGAATCACAAATTCTTTACATAAGAAAGAAATTGACAAAATTAATGGAACAAACAAAAAACAAAATTCAATTAAGTTTTAAGAGACAAAGATAGGATTTAGTAAGTTATTCCTTCATCATCCCACGAAGATTGTTTCATTTTTTCATTTTGATATATTTCACTAAGATTGTCTCGTACTCTGTAACAAATTTGGTTAGTTTATGTGATTTTAAATAATTTTTATTTTTATTTTTAATTTATCAATTCAATATTAAACAAAACTCTTTTGTGTGTGAAAGAAGCTCATTTTTCTTATGTCTCAATGTAGCGAGACGAAAGTAATACTAGTAAAAAATTTTAGGTACTCCTCAATTCCTCATACAGCGTGAAGCGAGAGTTGGTAGGAGGGGAGAAGTTTTGATCGATTGACGACTGGCGAGAAGGCCTAAAGAAAGGTACAAAAGAAAGTCGATCGATTTAAGCATGTGTTTAAGTGTTTTCATTTCCAGTTTAAGTCACTTCTTTGCCCAAATAAAAAATGAGCTTAGTTTTAAGTACTGGAAAACCGGTAATATTATTCCATTGTAATCTTGTTAATCGTGATGATGCGTTCATTAGGTTCAGAATTGCATATCCTATACAACTTCAATAGCAATCTTGCGACTACGTTTTCTTCACATTCAAAATAATATCAAAATTGTTGTCCAAAATTCACAAGAGATATACATTGATTTCAGAAATAATCAGAATAGGAAAGAATTTGAACTATACGGTTTTGGACTAATCATCATATTTTACTTTTTTTGGGAACGGAATGGAGTTTAAATTACAACTAAATAAAGTGTACTAAACAGTCATTGCTGTAATAATGTGACTAAAATATGAACAATTTTTTGGTGTACACTCATTTGGGGTACACCATTCGTAATTGAATAAGTGTACTAAATAGTACATTGCTCTAATGTGACTAAAATATGAACCATTTTTTTGTGTACACTCTTTCGGGGTACACCATTCGTAATCATCATATTTTACTTTTTTTTGGAATAGAATGGAGTTTAAATTACAATCAAATAAAGTATACGAACGAGTAATTGTTCTAATGTGACTAAAATATGAACCATTTTTTGTGTACACTCTTTCGAGATACACTATTTGCAATTAATTACTAATTGCATTAATTAATATGAATTGTCTTGATTGTAGCACAACAATAAGGGGTGTACAAATGGTGTACCTCAAAACGGGTACACCCTCTTACTAATTACTAATTGCATTATTTAATATGAATGGTCTTGGTTTTACCACAACAATAAGGGGTGTACAAATGTTGTACCTCAAAGCGGTACAACAGTTGCACAAAATAAACAAATAAGACTAATTATGTTTTATTGTCAAAATATGACTTGATCCCATCAAAAACATAAATCAAGAATCGAAGTTCGCAGCGGCCGTGTGGATGTTATAACTCATGTGTGCTGAGCTGGACATCTGCTACGCACATATACTTCTGTGTGTTGGGTTGGATTTTTAGTGCACACATGTACGATGCCTACCGTCGTTGGGTTGACTGAGTCTTCGTGAGTTAGAATGTTTTTACTTAGTTTATTTTGAGTCTTAGACTAGACTATACTAAATCAGATTAGATCAGACTAAAACAGACTTGGACAACTATAAAATAAACAGAGACAAGACATTTATCAGACTAATTCATAACAAACTAAATCATATCAGACAAGACATTTTTACATGCTCCCAAAGGCCTTGTCGAATGGGGCGTGAACCTTTGAATTGAGGATTCAATCTTTTGAAACATTGAAAAGATAATAATGGATATTACGTATCTAATTTATATATTTTGTCTGTGTTTTAATTCAATTTAAGAAACTTTCGCAATTAAAACTCAATATTTTTCATAATACCGCACATTTTTCATTCAACTCCATAAACCCCTTATTAGGACAAATAATAATTAGGTAAGGCGTATAATGCGGATTACGGAGTAGAACAGAGACAAATACGACATGCAATTTAATAGATCAGGCCAAAAAAGGACACTGAAATAATGTGAAACAGTTTTTTAATTATTTGGACTTTTGTCGTTGGCATCCAGAAGCCGCAGCAGGAAATCATTCGTTCTCATTTCACTGATAAGAACCCAGGTCGCTCTGAGAAATTGTGTGTTAATGTTGTATTGTGCGTTCATTCATCCCTGTCCCTCCACAGGGAAACCCAAAGAAGAAAATCGCAAGTGGATTACAGTGCAGAGAGAAAGGGCTATCCATACCCAAACCAAAAAGGAAACCCCACTCCGATCTTTCCCCATCAATAAATATACCACTCTCTTCCCACGCCGGTAAAGCCACACCCATTTCCCGGCATCATTTCATCTCCCAATTCCTGTCTCCGAAGAACGCTCAAAGCTCTTCTCTTTTTTCTTCCCCTCATTCATTCCCTTCCCTGCGGCATCTGCAGCTTTTTGAGCCCCGTCTTTATCCCTCGCCGCCTTTTCCCGCTTCCAGCCGCTCCGCATTTTATGCGTACTGTCTAATCAAATCTCTGCATTTAAAGTGGAGCTCTCGGTTTGGGTACGCAGGGCGGCCGGGTCACCCATCTTCTGACATAGATTCTGAGCTGTCATTAATTCTTTGTAGCTCTCTCTGTCTGTCAACCCTCGGAAATTAAACATCTTTGAACCACTTCTTATACCCCTCCATTCCATGCTGTGAACTCGTGAATTTCTTCCCTCCTTCCGACCCGAATTGAAAAAAAAAGAAAGGGTTAGTTCAGTTCAGTGAAGTGGCATCACTGCTGAGAGAGAAAGGTGCGTTCTTGTGAAAATGGAAGTAAAGTTTGGATCTTTTTAAAGAAGGGCTTTTTTAGGATCTGGTGGGGAATTGAGTTATTTTTTTTCGTGGGTGTTTTCAGAAAACCTGGTATTAGCGTACAGAATCGAAAAGAATGTCGTCTCTGAAGCAAGCGGAGGAAGCAATGGTCTCCGGCGAAGTGGAACATGACAGCGTGGGTGGATACAAAGAAGCAGGCGCCGGCGATGAGGAAGAGGACCAGCCAATGTCCGGTCTGAAAAGCTTTCTCTGGCATGGCGGCTCTGCTTGGGATGCTTGGTTTAGTTGTTCTTCCAATCAGGTAACACCTCCTATTATCTTATACCATTTTTTTCATTTCTGTGGAAAGACTAGAAAGAGCTCAAATTGGAAGAGAGCTAAAAACCATATGGTGAAAACAAACAGGTAGCTCAAGTACTGTTGACACTGCCATACTCCTTTTCACAACTGGGGATGCTATCAGGAATATTGTTCCAAGTCTTCTATGGTCTGATTGGCAGCTGGACAGCTTATCTTATCAGTGTCCTCTATGTGGAGTACAGAAGCAGGAAAGAGAAAGAAGGTGTTAGCTTCAAAAACCATGTCATTCAGGTAAAATTTGAAATTTTCCCTATGAAAAATCTTCAATCTTGATCAGTGTTTCTAATAAGGAGCATATTAACGGAGTATATTTTAGTTAAGTATTCTTAAAGAAATATGGAATACGTTTTTAAGTTGGTATTAGAAATCATTTTAGACAAATGTATAATAAACTTCAAAGTAACCAGTTTCACCAAAAAGTCAGACATACACTGTCTTTTAGAAGGGAATATGCATTTATCTGTCGCTAAAAGGCTAACTTTGATTTCCTTTCCGATGTACGTAGTATAAAAAAGGCTAACTTTTATTCACATTTAAATTGACAAAGTAAAAACGTTGTTGATATTAATTAGAATAAAGAGAAGAAATAAGAACTGCAAATTTATTTACTTAACTGTAAAGTGAGGTTATTTTTAATTAAACTGAATTTGGAGGGGTTAGGAAACCTTTTTAGAAAGAGAAGAAGTATATACCATCCAACTCTGATTCTATTTGTTTATTATTCTTATAAAAGTCATAAAAAGATTTACATGTGTTTGACTGAAAGTCTGAAACTAGCTTTGATATTTGCATGCAGTGGTTTGAAGTGCTTGATGGGCTTTTGGGCCCATACTGGAAAGCAGTTGGGCTGACCTTTAACTGCACTTTCCTTCTCTTTGGATCCGTGATACAACTCATAGCTTGTGCAAGGTATGGACATCACAAAAATAATCTGAAAGAGTGAAAGTGTCATTTTTTGAGGAAAAAACAAAGGTTGGTTTGTTAATATTGTGAATATGATACAAACAGCAACATATATTACATCAATGATGGGTTGGACAAGAGGACCTGGACATACATATTTGGAGCCTGCTGTGCAACCACTGTCTTTATTCCTTCATTCCACAACTTTAGGATTTGGTCTTTTCTTGGCCTTGGGATGACCACTTATACTGCCTGGTATCTTACTGTAGCAGCTCTAGCTCATGGTCAGGTAAATCATACATCATATTTCTTGTGTTTGCTTTCATCTCACTAATAACTATTTTGTCAATTTGGACTCTGTGGAGTATAACAAGGTCTATTTTTTTTTTATTGTAGTACGTTAAAGGAAATGATAGAATGATTTAAAAAAGTGGATATAATATATCTTTAAAGTAATTTATTAAAGAGAAATTGCAGTTACAAAATATACATATTCACTTGATTAAAAGCTATGTCAATCAAATTTATTCCAATTCAATTAAAGGGTATGAATTATTGTTTTCTACTCTCAGATTGAAGGGGTACAGCACACTGCACCAACAAAAGCAGTTCTGTATTTCACAGGTGCCACAAATATTCTATACACTTTTGGGGGGCATGCTGTCACTGTGTAAGTGTTTATTGATCCTTTTCCTTTAGGCCATCATCATCTTTTAATACATCAATTCATAATACTGCTTATGTATCTTGTGCTGCTTCGGGTAAATCTCATTTAGATAAAATTACACTAGTTTTTATATTATCTGCTAGTGTTCATCTTTATTAATCTGGAGTAACATTTCTTCATATGATCCTGCCATGTTATTTTTTATTTCATAATTCCTACTCAAGTAGTTTGCTTCTAGATTCTACGCATTATCTAATTACATTGAGACAAACAAGTAACAGAAGACCATAACATTGATTATTATGTATGTATATACTTATTACTAAAATTACAGGGAAATTATGCATGCAATGTGGAAGCCACAGAAGTTCAAGTACATTTACTTGTTTGCCACTCTATATGTATTCACTCTCACCATTCCTTCTGCCACCTCTGTGTATTGGGCATTCGGGGATGAACTTCTAGATCACTCAAATGCCTTCTCCCTCCTCCCCAAGTCCAGGTGGCGCGATGCTGCTGTCATCTTGATGCTTATTCACCAGGTCTTTATTTTTACATAACATCATTTTTTCCCCAATCATTACTTAAGGAAAACTCTAGAAATTGGACTAAAACATGACATATGTTGTTTGGAAAGTAGAAGAGTAGGACTCACTAACACCTAGAATAAGAACTATTAACTGCCTTTTTATATAACTGAACTAATCCTATTTACCACAAAACAAGAATACTCAGTTGCATGTGTTTACTTTTATCTGAAGTAATTTATCTAGTACTACTAACCAAAGCAGCATTTACTATTTGTTTAAAAACATCACAGTTCATCACATTTGGATTCGCCTCGATGCCATTATACTTTGTGTGGGAAAAAGTGATAGGGATGCACGACACAAAGAGCATTTGCCTGAGGGCACTTGCAAGGCTGCCAGTGGTGATACCAATATGGTTCTTGGCCATAATCTTCCCTTTCTTTGGCCCGATAAACTCGGCTGTTGGGGCACTTCTTGTTAGCTTCACTGTATATATAGTGCCTTCCCTTGCTCATATGCTCACGTATCGCAAAGCCTCAGCTCGCAAGGTAATAATAATAATACTAAATTCTTCTATGCTACTCTTGATTGTAAGAAAAATATCTCCGCAACAATCTAAAACATACTTCTTTATTATAATTGTGCATATTTTTTACTTCATAGGGTCGAATTTTTAAAATTAGCACAAGGTCATCCGCAAAGACAAACCTTTGCGGATAATCTTAGTGGTTCATACCCCGGATAATCTTTGCGGATAATCCGCAAAGACATATTTTTTACTTCATAAGGTTAGCCAGGCTTGACAATCTTAGTGGTTCATACCCCATAACAGAATAATATGTGAACCACTAGAACTAGTAGGATGTCTCATCTTGTGTTTATTTTGCTGAATATAGTGCCAGCCATTAATTCTAGTGTGACTTGCATTTGAAAATACAGAATGCTGCAGAGAAGCCTCCGTTCTTCTTGCCTAGCTGGACTGCCATGTATGCTGTGAACATCTTCATAGTGGTCTGGGTCATTGTAGTAGGGTTCGGGTTTGGAGGATGGGCCAGCATGACAAACTTCGTGAAACAAGTGGACACATTTGGGCTTTTCGCCAAATGCTACCAATGCAAACCACCCAAGCCATTAGCCCTTCCGCCCTATGCAGCACCTAATGCCACCATCAGACATTGAGCCGAATAACTTGCTCAACTTGGTTGAATTCGCTCTTCTTAAAAATTATTACAGATACATGGGGAGATAGTAATAGTCTCCCCTACATGCATGTGATGTATGTGTTACGGATGCATTCTGGGGCAAACAATACAGCAGGCGACAAGGCCCGGAACGAGCCCAGCACGTTGCAGATTCAAGTTATACCGGGAAACAAAGTGGCTGAAAGAAAACTATTAATTAGTTATTACTATTATTCCTATTTCAGTTTTAGGCAACTGCCTAATTATTCTAGTTTCCTATTTCAGTTTTAGGCAACTGCCTAATTATTATAGTTTCCTATTTCAGTTTTAGGCAACTGCCTAATTATTATAGTTTCCTATTTCAGTTTTAGGCAACTGCCTAATTATTAATTGCCTTTAGGACTCTTGTATCAGCCTCTATATAAGGGTCATTATTATTATCAATAAAGTACCTTTTGGAAGAATTAATTTTGTGTCTTGACTAGGTCGGACATCAATTTAATTCCTACTTAAGATTTCAATTCTTCAGAAATCATAGATTCCTTCCCAGTCAATTACCTTCCCTCTGAATTACAGAAATCTTCTCGTCCCTGGACGAGATCATTAACAAAGGTTCTTAACAATTTGGTATCAGATTCCGGGACGATGGGTGATGACGCAGCAGGAGCCGAGGCATTGAAACACATGATTGAGGGCATTGACCAACGCCAGTTGACTGTCGAACACCAGCTGGCTGACCTGCAGGAGTGTGTCTCCAAATTGGCCGATTTACCCGCAGCGATGGCCGCCTTGTCCGTCTCTGTCCAGAAACTAACCGCAGATTCTTCCCCAGTATCTTCCCGCTTTGCTCGGCCACACGAACGAGAAATCCGACGCCAGGATCATGATGACTTAGTGGTTCCACGTTTTTCCAAGCTTGATTTTCCACAATATGACGGTAAGAGCGACCCTTTATCATGGCTTAAACGTTGTGAAAGTTTCTTTGTTCACCAGCGCACACCGGCGCAAGCCCGTGTGGGTCTCGCAACGTTCCACATGGTTGGGACAGCCCAACTCTGGGCTGATCAGCTGGATCCCAGTGCTACCGACATCACCTGGACTGAGTTCTATACAAAGTGTACTAAACGCTTTGGACCGCCCTGTGGTGCCAATCCTGAAGGGGACCTTGCCAAACTCACCCAAACACATGATGTGGAAACTTATATCGAGTTGTTTCAACAGTTGCTTGCCCGCACCATTGGCATCTCTATGCGCATGCAAGTTAAAATCTTCACAGCAGGATTACGTGAATCGTTGCGCTTGGAGGTTGAGTACCAGAATCCAGTTGATCTTGATTCAGCAATGATGCTGGCCCGTACTGTGAACCGCAAGTATGAACACCCAGAGACCAAATCTCGTTCCACTCTTTTGGTTCCATCTGCACAGTACTCTCGGCCACCGACACCGAATATGCCGGATCCATCCATAAACCGACGACAATCCACACCGGGTTTTAAAAAGATCTCCCGCGCTGAGGCTGCCATACGCCGGGAAAAAGGATTGTGTTATAACTGTGACGATCCATGGATTCCAGGGCACCGATGTAAACGGCTCTTTTTTATTGAGATTCTGGATGAGGAATCCTTACTAGAGACAGATGAATATACAACCAGTCCTGAGCCATCCCTGTCTATCTTGGCTATGACTGGGTTCGGATCTTCATCCACCATGCAACTGTCAGCACGTCTCTATGACCGTTCCATCACTATCTTGGTAGATTCGGGCAGCACTCATAACTTCCTGCACCAACGGTTACTTCCAACCACGACGGCCCTATCTCAGGTTGGTGGTGCACTCCATGTACTTGTCGCTAACGGTGACCGTGTCCCCATAATCGGTACCTGCTCTAATCTCCCTTTTGAAGTCGATGGCAGACAATTCTCAGCAGATGTTTATGTCCTTCCACTGGCCGGGTTTGATATGATCCTTGGTGTGCAATGGCTCCGTGGGTTAGGTTCCATCGTGTGGGACTTTGAGCAGCTCTCCATGCGTTTCCAGTGGCAAGGCCATCCAGTGGAATGGCAAGGACGAGTAGCAGGTCAGTCCATTCATGCACACATGGCTGTTACATCGCAGATGGTGACCCCATCTCTAGACGCAATGCTGAACAGTTTCTGTGACCTCTTTCGCGAACCCACCAGTCTTCCACCTCGCCGAACTCATGATCACCGTATTACTTTATTGTCGGGCTCAGGTCCAGTGGTGGTTCGACCATACCGATATCCTTATTTTCAGAAGGATGAAATTGAAAAACAATGTGCTGAGATGTTAGAACAGGGGATAATCCAGAATAGCCGCTCTCCATTCTCATCCCCGGTTTTATTAGTCAAGAAGCCCGATGACACATGGCGCTTTTGTGTGGACTATAGGGAACTGAATGCCAAGACGGTTAAAGATAAATTCCCTATTCCAGTGATTGATGAACTGTTAGATGAACTCCATGGAGCAAAATTCTTCACCAAGCTGGACCTCCGCTCTGGTTATCACCAAATCCGAATGGATCCTAATGATGTCGAAAAAACAGCATTCCGAACCCACCATGGTCACTTTGAGTTCCTGGTGATGCCATTTGGGTTATGTAATGCTCCCTCTACGTTCCAAAGCCTTATGAACGACATCTTTGGTCCCTACTTGCGCAAGTTCGTATTAGTTTTCTTTGATGACATCTTAATCTATAGTAAGTCATGGGTTGAGCATGTCCATCACGTTCACCTTGTTTTTGAGATTTTACGCACTCACGGATTGTTTCTCAAACATTCCAAGTGTAGTTTTGGGTCCCCGCAAGTTAACTACTTAGGACATGTGATTCATGGTCAAGGAGTTGAGGTTGATAAATCCAAGATTCGCGCGGTTCTTGACTGGCCTACCCCAAGCACCGTAACTGCCTTGCGTGGTTTTTTGGGTCTTGCAGGCTATTACCGCAAATTTATACAAGGATATGGGGAAATTGCAAGACCACTCACCCAACTTCTCCAGAAAAATGCTTTTGTTTGGTCCCCAGCAGCAGCCTCTGCCTTCACTGACCTCAAACAACGTTTGTCTTCAGCTCCAGTATTACAACTTCCAGATTTCACAAGAGAGTTTGTTGTGGAGTGTGATGCCTCTAGTAGTGGATTTGGGGCCGTGTTGCAACAAGAGGGCCATCCCATTGCATATTTTAGTCGGCAGATTGCTGCCCGCCATTCGAAACTTGCGGCTTATGAGCGGGAACTAATCGGTCTGGCGAAAGCAATCACCCATTGGCGGCCTTATCTTTGGGGTAGAGAGTTTCTAATCAAGACTGATCATTCGAGCCTCAAATATCTGTTAGAACAACGCCTCACTACATCACCTCAACAACACTGGCTAAGCAAGCTCATGGGCTTCACTTTCCGGATCGAGTACAAACCAGGTCGCTTAAATGTGGTTGCAGATGCGTTGTCTCGTCGAGATGAACCTATAACGTTAGCAGCAGTCTCCATTCCATATACAACTCTCATGGAGGACATACGCCTCGAACACGCCACGTCACCAGAAATCAAGGCGTTATGTGAACAGTTGAAGACCGGGGTCCTCGACAATGACTGGGCATATCGTGATGGCTTTCTCTACTTCCGCCATAAGATTTTTCTCCATTCCACCTCATCCCTCATTACCACGTTGATTATGGTGTTCCATGAGATGGCCCATGAAGGTGTGGAAAAGACACTACAACGGTTGCGCCGAGAATTCTATTGGCCCAAAATGAAGCTAACGGTGAGTCAACTTGTTAAGGAATGCCTCACATGCCAACGCCATAAATGGCTAACTTTACAACCAGCAGGGTTGCTTCAGCCATTACCCATTCCACAGCAAGTTTGGGCCGACGTTTCCATGGACTTCATTGAGGGGCTGCCCAAAGTTCAGGGCAAAACAGTCATTTTTGTGGTTGTGGATCGTCTCACCAAAGCTGCCCACTTTATACCACTGGCTCATCCATACACAGCTGTTTCAGTGGCCAATGTCTTCTTTTCTGAAATTTTTCGGCTACACGGACTTCCTGAATCTATAGTTTCTGACCGTGACAAGGTTTTCGTTAGTCAATTTTGGCGAGAACTTTTCCGTTTGAGTGGCACTAAACTGACTTTTTCTTCAGCTTATCATCCCCAGACGGATGGCCAAACGGAGGTAGTTAATCGCACATTGGAAACTTTTTTACGTTGTCTCACCAGTGACTGCCCCAGGGAGTGGGTTCGATGGTTACCTTGGGCAGAATTCTGCTATAACACTTCCTTTCACTCCAGTTTAGGAGACACTCCATTTCGTCTCGTCTATGGGCGAGATCCGCCGAAGTTAATCTCTTATACTCCAGGAACCGCCAAATTGGAGGGAGTGGAACAAGAGTTAATCAACCGGGATGCTTTTTTTATCTTCAGCTCGACGTCACTTGACCACTGCCCAAGCTCGTATGAAATCTCAATATGACAAAAATCACAGGGAGGTTACCTTTGAAACCGGTGATTGGGTTTGGCTACGGGTTCATCCTTACCGACAACTCTCCATGGGTTCCCGTCACCATAAACTACTTCCCAAATTCTATGGTCCATTTCAAGTGGCTGCTCGCATCGGCAAGGCTGCTTATCAGCTTTCTCTACCGGAGACAAGTAAAATTCATAACGTCTTTCATGTTTCCCTCTTAAAGAAGCATCACGGTCCTTCCCCTGAGCAAATGGGAACTCTGCCTCCTTTAACAGAACAACCAACAACCTTGCAACCCCTAGCCATACTTCGCAAACGCCTTAATAGGGGTGTGCCAGAGGTACTTGTTCACTGGATAGGACAGTTGGCCGAGGAAGCCACCTGGGAGACCTTGGAGTCCTTTACTGCTGCATTTCCAAGGTCTGAGCTTGCGGACAAGCTCGAAGTCGATGAGGGGGGTATTGTTACGGATGCATTCTGGGGCAAACAATACAGCAGGCGACAAGGCCCGGAACGAGCCCAGCACGTTGCAGATTCAAGTTATACCGGGAAACAAAGTGGCTGAAAGAAAACTATTAATTAGTTATTACTATTATTCCTATTTCAGTTTTAGGCAACTGCCTAATTATTCTAGTTTCCTATTTCAGTTTTAGGCAACTGCCTAATTATTATAGTTTCCTATTTCAGTTTTAGGCAACTGCCTAATTATTATAGTTTCCTATTTCAGTTTTAGGCAACTGCCTAATTATTAATTGCCTTTAGGACTCTTGTATCAGCCTCTATATAAGGGTCATTATTATTATCAATAAAGTACCTTTTGGAAGAATTAATTTTGTGTCTTGACTAGGTCGGACATCAATTTAATTCCTACTTAAGATTTCAATTCTTCAGAAATCATAGATTCCTTCCCAGTCAATTACCTTCCCTCTGAATTACAGAAATCTTCTCGTCCCTGGACGAGATCATTAACAAAGGTTCTTAACAGTATGCTGATCTTCCTCTTCTTCCCATTTTAGTGTT